GTTATTATCGATGACCAATAATATTCATTCACTGTTTAGCTCTCTGCCTGGTTTTAGACATACACCCTTTACATGTAAATATTTTTAGTATTTTTTTAATGGAACGTTGACTTTTTTGACACAGTTTATTGTCTTCAGTGATGACCAAGAATAATCTGAAATTTGGATCTAATTCACTCAGCTATGCACAGACTTTTTCTCGACAAATACTCTTTATTAAGCGTTAAATCTGCTTTATTACTTATTGGATGTCTTTTTGATTTTTTTGTGTCCAACTTATCTCAAAAATTAATATTTTGTACTAATTTTGTTATTCTAATTGTTTCATATGTATCCTTAGGTAATCATGGTCTGCCTTCCTTGCTTTTTTGCTCCTGTTATGGTAGTTTTGCTTCTCATTTGGACTAGGTATCTCCAGCCAATATTCCAACCCATAATTGATGCTTGGGTTACTCCTAAAGCGGTAAATGTATGTATCATACCTAATTACTGTAAAAACATTAGCTTGAAATTTTTTTATTGATATTTTATTGTGTTTTTGCTACAGGATCCGAAGAAAGATGACGAAAAATCAGAGGCATCGACGTCAGATAAGAATGAAAAACCAATCAAAGCTGATTGAATCTACTGAACAAACTGAGTCTTAACTGATCACTACTCTCAATTTAGATGTTTTTACTTCAAAGATTCTAATTGCTTCAACTGTTCATTCCAAAATCTCATCCTTCTTTACCCTAGTCTAATTAATCTGCATGTAAATATTGGCCATTACCTGAACCTGATTGCCTTTTCCAAATTGGCTGATTCAATGATAAAGCTTAATAAATCTTGATTATTGGATTAATTTAACTGTTGATTCAGTGAACTGCACTGAAAATGAATGTAAATCACAATAAAAAATAATTAAAATGATGGCTTAAACTGTTTAATATTGTAATGTTTCAATTATGGAAAAGTTAATATTTAGAATAAATATTGTGGCAATTAACAGAATTATAAAAATCGGCTTGATTTGATTATTGAGTGGTAAAAGGATAAAAATGGTCATTGTTGATCTCAAATGATAATTACAGTAAGACTTCACTTAGGTCATATTATTGGAATAGATCATATTTCCCTTTCGTTATATCATGAGTTTATAATCAAAAAGAGACATTAAAGTATATACGTCACAATTTTTCAAAACCTAAGCAAAATTTAAATAATTGTTGGTGTAAAAAGATAAGTAAATAATTATCAAACTAAAATTGACTGAAAATATACTAAACACTATGTAAAACAATGAGAGTTTAAATTTCAATACGATAAATAATATTTAGATTTCTTTCCAATCATATGAATATTTAGTCTTGAATTGAGTTGATTCAACAAGACTATTTTTTATCCCAAGTCCTTCGAATAATTGACAATTTGATTTCACTTTAAGCTTTACACAAATTTGGTTTAAATAAGTAAACAATTTACTGATGAATACAAAAAAAGTAAATATTTAAACCAAAAAATTAATGCGATAGGAAAAAGGATGTCATTACTGATCACTCGGAGACTCTTTTAGTATTGTCCAAAGAGTAATCTTTTTGTTACAATATTATCATGTGTACTTATTTGTGTTGAGCGGCAGAAGCAGCCCCCTGTAATTGTCGCATCATTGTCTGAAGGCCTGAAATGCCACCCATTTGTTGTAAGATGCGAGGGTCCATCATTTTGGCTACTTGTTGATTTAACTTTGCCATTTGCATAGCATTCACATTTTTGCTCATATCTCCACCTCTGAAGAAACCCTTGATGCCACCCATCTTTTTCACTACGGCAGCAAACTTTGTAAATTGAGTTAACAGTTCTTGGACTTCTCTTGTGGTCACTCCAGCTCCACGAGCTACTCTTGTTGTACGAGTTGGTTGTTTGGAAAATAATTTTGCACCATCTCTGTGATCTAATTCTCCGTCACTCATTGAGTCCATTATTGTCATCAATCTTTTTAATCTAGCCATTGAATCTGCCTCAGAAGCTCCTCTTGCTAATTCTTGCCCAAAACCAGGAATCATTTGTAGTATTTGATTAAAAGGTCCCATTTTCATGATGTTTGTAAATTGCTCATACATATCTCTTAATGTAAACTCTCCGTGTTTTAACTTTTCTATTAACTCTTCATTATCATCTAATTTGAGCTCATTTACTTTATCAATTAAACCTTCTATGTCACCCATTCCCAATAATTTAGAAACAAAAGGTTTAACTTTGAATGGTTCGAAATCATCCATATGTTCTCCAGTACCGATGAAAATAATGGGAGAGTTGGTAACTGCTACAGCACTAAGTGCACCACCACCTTTAGCGTGTCCATCTAATTTTGTAACAATTACAGCTCCAACGTCTACTTTACTTTTAAAAGCACGAGCTTGAGCTTCACAAGCATGACCAATAGAAGCATCCATAACAAAAATAACCAAATTAGGTTGAACTGCATTACTAATTGATAACATTTCCTCGAATAAGGCACTTTCTTGTTTATGCCTTCCACTTGTATCAACAATAATTATTTCGAAGCCTTCCTTTATAAATTTGTCTACTCCTTCTGCAGCTACAACAACTGGATCTGCTTCTGTATATGATCCATAGAATGGTATTCTTGCTTTTGTAGCATTTTGTTTCAATTGATCGAAAGCACCAGCTCGAAAAGTATCTGCACACACAAGACAACATTTCCAACCTTTTCTCTGATAATAATAGGCCATTTTAGTACATGTAGTTGTTTTACCAGCACCTAAAAGAAACAAAATTTTAATATCATTAAATCTTTTGATATTGACTAATATTTTCTGGCTCCATTATTTTGAAAAAGTAAAAACTTACCTTGAAGACCGACAAACATGATAACATTTGGTTTGCCTTTAGTTGGCTGCCAAGCTTTAACTCCAGGATCAACTAGCTTAACTAATTCTTTGAAGACTGCCATTTGAATCATTCTTCGTTTATTGAGGCCAGCAGCCATCTCATCGAAATCGATAACTTTACGTACATTTTCACGTAATTCTTTGACTAGTCTGATATTTACATCAGATTCCAATAAAGCTTTACATACTTCCTTAAGCAAACCTTCTAACACTTCTTGGTCAATAATTGTAGCATTACCCAAAGACCGTAATGCATTTGTTATCTTTCGACCCAAATCTGCTAAAACCATTTTCAATTGTTTATTGAGATAGCTTCCAGTTCACTTGTAATGTTAATAGTAGATGATTGTTTCAAAGCGAAAAAATATTAATTCTCCAAATTTCGCACTTAGATATAAAATCAAAATTTCACAAGCAGTAATTTTATTAACAGTAGCATTTTACTGAAAAAACTGTCAACAACAAACATGACGTTGAAGAAGTATTCTTGACATGTGTGCAATTTTTGAATGTGCCATCTGTGAAATGTAATATAAACTAAACAGCTAGTTTTCACCTTGCTTGGTTTCTCAAGAGCATCTTCTCCTGAATTAGGCCCAGTTTGTAATTATTCCCCTCTCTCCTAGAATTAATTGTTATTTAGTCAATTATTAATAATATGTCTATTTTTCACCTTCGACCGGCTTTACAACGTGAAATTTTACATTTTTTGCGATCTAAAGGTCATCTAAAAGCAAGTACTGCTAGTTATTATGAATACAAAGATGTTATTGGAAACCGAGAGATAGTTGGTTTTGGAAATGATGGTCAACCTTTTTATTTTGATCGTCTTAATAAACCTTTCCCAGCAATACGATTTAAGGAAGACACTTCTGAAATGTTGGCCTTAAAGGAAAAGGAAAAAGGTGATTGGAAATTGTTGTCCAATGAAGAGAAAAAACAATGTAAGTAAATTTTTTTACTATACAGAAATAACATGAAGAAAAGATGTGTATTTTTCTGCATCTTTGTGCATTCAGTATAACTGATATAAGGACATGTTAAGGGTAAAATGTTTTTATTTTTATTATTCTCTTATAGCCATAATTTGTGTTTATTGGATCATATGTTTCTAATACATTTTTATCTCTCTCTCTCTTATAGTATATCGACACTCGTACTGTCGCACATATGCTGAATTAACAGCTCCTACTGGTAATTGGAAACAAGTTATTGCTGGTATACTCGGAATAATGAGTATCACTTTACTAGTTGTTGCTGCTGAAAGGACATACATTTATCCACCATTACCGGAGTCAATGAATCCAGAGAATACTAAAAGATTTATGAAATTCGCTCTTTTCAACAGAATAGATGAATTTGATGGTTATGCATCAAAATGGGACTACGAAAAGAACTGCTGGAAGAAATAGGCTATTTTAATCTGCGTGTACCTAACATTTTTTCCTCATTTATTAAAAGATTAGCTGTTTATGAAACTAGCATCAGTTTTTTGTGGTTAATGGTATGTAAGATAATTTGATCTCGATCATAAATTAGATTTAAATGTATATCAAATTGAATTATATGATGAATGTAGCTAAAGAATTGTCACTTTCATCATGACGAGTCTTAAACATGCTAATAACCGCAAACAATCTGATGGAAAACCAACATTTTGTTTGATGTTGTTTTAGTTTTCAAAATAAAAAAATTCCATAATAACCATCTCGACTGATTTATTCATTGAACATCTTAATCAAGACGTGCTCTGACATTTCATCGTATTTATTACATTATAAAACTAGGATATTACCCCTGAAAATTATGACATAAGACTGATCCTCATTAATTCAATTTGATTTGTGAATAATTTAACCTAGCTAATTAAATACTAAAATAAAGGGCTCAGTGGAATCAGATATTCACACCCGTTATTGTGAACATAACCAATCAAGCTAAACAGTTTTTCAAACGAGCAGAAATTTAGATCACAATCTAAACACACTACTAACGCTTTTAAGCTTTTATCGATTCTTAGATTCAAAATGTCAATCCGATGAGATTAGTTAACAAGAAATTCAATGCTGTAATCATCTTTTCTCACACAATAATGAAATCGGATTCCAGAAAACACTTAATTTTTTGGTTAAAATGAGGCTTTGCCAGATAATTTTAACGATTCTCTAGATTATTGAAGGACTAAGAAAATCACTGAAATCTCAACCTCGTGATATGATAAGAAAAACAATTTTGTTCAATGTTCAACCGATGAATGTAAAAGTATCATTAAAGTTTAAATATTAAGTTTAGTCATTAAAAGTCGAATCAATATTTGTTTTATAAAATCGTAAATAATGCAAAGAAAAAGATTGAAACATAATTGTTTTACAGTTTTGTTATTAAACTCACCAGGCTCGATATTAGACAATAACAACCAGCAGCCTCTAAAAGTAACTTTGACTTTTCAATTTCCAATAATGTATTCCATTCATGAATTAAAGATGAAATTAGTCAATCATTGCCAACATTATTCATTGTCATCTTTTAAAATCAAATTGATCAATTTATTGTTAGGATTACCGAATCACAGATTAACATCTGAGGAAACCATTAAACAACTGGTAAAATTTGAAAAATTTTCAATATTTTTTCGCTCTTCTCGATTTGGATTCAATCAAAATGTATCTCATCAATCAACTGAAACTGACTATTTAAGCCTAATTATGCGAGCAATTGGTCAAATCAACTTGATTCGTTTGATTTGTTTAACAGTAATAGACAATGAAGATTATCAATTGTATTTAGGCGACATTGCTTACAAGACAAAACACCGAACAATGGTAAACATTTTATTTACTGTCTGCTTCCTAATTGGAGTTGTTACCAATGAATGGCTTGTTTCATATGATAAAAGTGGTAAATACAGCGTTTTGACAATTTACTCAGACATAATTAACAATGGATTTGATCCGGTTCACTTACAAATGACATCAAACCAAGCAATTAAATTTCATCGTACAATCCATATTCTGATCACTCAACTTAACCGCAATTTCCTATTTTGCTGTCTCTTCCTTGCCATTTGCTATTATTTCATGCTCCTCTCCAATCCACATTTTTATCAGGTCAAAGAGTTGGTATTTTACAGTTTGATCTGGAGTCTGGTCGCAATTGTTCCAACATTTACCATGACTGGACAAAATATGGGTACTTTGATTTATCTTATTTTAGTGCAAGTGTATCACCTATTTAGGTTGAACTCAGTAGTCGAGTTGGCAGATTACTATCGACGATTGAAATGTACCGATGAACTGGTTAAAAGCCTCATCAGACATACATTTGAATGTCTGAATCAATCAGAGAGATGCGCTATATTGACTCGTGCTATTGTCCTTTATGGGTTCACGGTGATTGCCTTGATTGGCGATTTACTGACATTTTATGGTTTAATTATTCGGTTTCACTCACCAGTGTTTGCTGATTTGTCTGGTTCAATTGGTTGTCTCGTTTTCATTGTTATTGGTTGCCTTTCATACATTGCCAGAGAATTTAAAATTAAAGTAGGAATTCATTTGACTGATTTTGATGATTACTTGAATTGATCTAATTTTTGCTCAAATTTTGATCATCATTGCTATATTGGATACAGATAGATCGTTTGAACTCAGATTTCCATATAATTTGTCGATATAATGTAATCAATGCTTATAATCGTTTGAAGGTAATTTAATGAAACAAAGGTTAAGCCAAGTTATAAATTTTGATGTTAATTTTTGTCTCAAGATTTTTCAGTTAATGGATCGATTAAATGGACCTTATAATGGCATTCAGTTGGGCCAAATAACTACAATTGGAAAGGATTTCTTTGTTGTTGTAAGCTTTACTGATTTTCAATGTTACCCAGAAACTTTTGTTTTATTGAAATCAATATTTAATTATATTGATTTGTTTTGAATTTTTAAATATCACGATAATAATAACTTGATATCTTTTTATACAGTTTATGTTAGAGATTGGTTCATCTTTAATGTTGTTTACTTGCAACTTCAAACGATATTTTTAAGAATTGGAAACGATTAACAATCAATTATGATTTGATTGACTTGGACACGATTCCCTAGTAGATCGACTCTTCAATGGTAAAAAGTCTAAGCAAATCTGTGTATAAAATCAACTTATTGTGTGGTAAATCGACTTATTTTTTGGCTTTCACGATTTAAATTATAATTGTTCTTGTAATTCAAAGATGATAATAAATGCCAAGTATTATTTTTAAATAAAAGTGCTTTTTTTGTATAAATACAGTTGATCTGGCAGGAAATTTCAGACAAATTTAGTGGTCACAGAAGATTATTATTGAGGTTCAAAAGTTTGGGGAAGCTTTCGATAGTTGATGTTCGAAAAACTTTTCTGTCGATAAAGTTCCAGCTCTTTAAATATCGCTATTATTTTGGTGCAAAATTGTCTGTTTGTATTAAGCAGACTACAGCAAAATATTATAAAATGTTATTTCCCATGTTTCTTATTAGTCGTTGGACGTTACGGGAGAAAAAATCGTCTTGATAATTAGTTCTGATGGCTATTCGAAGTGATCAGTGTTTTCACTGTGACGAATTTTTAAATTGCATGAATGAACTTATTTCATGCCACAAAAAACTCACAAAGTCTCAACTTTTTTTTTCTCAACTCACAATTCGCACGCACAGATTATATTAAATTCATCAAATGAAAAGAAATATTGAGTTTGAAGAGTTTCATAAACAAATTTTCAAATGAAATCTTTCCTTTGCGTAATTGCCAAATATTGATTCAACTCTAAACGACTAAATTAAATGTTAAACTTTGAAGATATTAAATTGACTCTTAACGATTGAACATTAAACAATATTGCATTTCCTACCAAAGGCCAAGGTTGAGATTTTACTTTAGTTTCCAACGAAAGTTTTTGTTATAAGATGATTATTTTGTTATGATTTGTTTAAATGTAATACAGCATGAGATGTCCATCACTTCAGCCTCAACTTTGAATTTTTAAATCTGGCGGAACTTACTTTCTTCAACAACTGAATATTTGGATTGCTATTAATTGATATTTTTTCATAAACAGATCAAAATCACCTCATAATGCTCAACTTTGATTTTTTAACTTTCGGTGGTTTTTTTCATTTCTATGATAAATTGAAGATGAAACTTTCCGGTCAATGGCGAAATTATTCATTGTCATCTTTGAAAACTGACTCGACCAATTTAGTTCTAGGATTACCGAATCAAGGTTTAACATCCGAAGAGACTATCAAACAGCTCGTTAAATTTGAAAAATTTTTAATGTTACTCCTCGCCTCTCGATTTGGATTCAACCGAAAAGTGTTGCATCAATCAGCTAAAACTGACTATTTCAGCCTGATTATTCGAGTAATGGGTCAAATCAACCTGATTCGTTTGATTTGTTTAACAGTAATAAAAAATGAGGATTACCAATTGTATTTAGGTGACACTGGTTACAAGACTAAACATCGAATAATGATTAACATTTTATATGCTATCTGCTTCTTATTTGGAGTCGCTACTAATGAATGGCTTATTTTTTATGATAAAAATGGTAAAAATAGTGTTTTGACAATTTACTCGGGAATAATTAAACATGGATTTGATCCAGTTCACTTACAAATGACATCAAACCAAGCAATTAAATTTCATCGTACAATCCATATACGAGTAGCTCAACTTAACCGTCGCTACATGTTTTGCTGTCTCTTCCTTGCAACTGTCTACTACTCCGTACTACTCTCCAATCCACACTTTTATCTGGTCAAACAGTTTCGACTTTACAGTTTGGCCTGGAGTATAGTCGCTGTTATTGTCGCCTTTACCGTGGCTGGAAAATATTTTGCTATTATTGGTTATCTAACTTTAATTCAAGTGTATTACCTTTTTAGGTTGCGATCAGCGGTAGAGTTGGCAGATTCCTATCGACGGTTGAAATGTACTGATGAACTTGCTTCAACCTTCATCAAGCACACATTTGAATGTCTCAACCAATCTGAAAAGTGGGTTAAATCAACTGGTGATTTTGTACTTTGTGTGTTCACTTGCGTTACCATGATTTGTGATCTGTTTATATTTTATGGTTTCATCATTCGTTTTCATTCACCGCTATTCGCTAATTCGCTTGCTTCTATTGGTTGCATTGTTTTCAGCGTTATTGGTTACCTCTCATTAATTGCACGAGAATTCATAATCAAAGTTAGTATTCATTTGTATGCTTAATGACTGACTATTTCATCTAATTTCTGCTTTAATTTTTTGGGTCATCAATGGTGATATTGGATGCAGATAGAGCGTTTATGTTCACATATTCATTCAGTTAGTCGATGCAATGTTTTCAATGTCTACAATCATTTTAAGGTAATTTAATAAAAAGGTGTAAAGAAAAGGAATAACATTTTATTTTATATCACTCAAGCTTTTACAATTGATGGAACGATTATCCGAACCCAAAATCGGCATTCAGTTGGGTCCAATAGCAACAATTGGAAAGGATTTCTTAATAAGAGTTAGTATTACAGATTTACAATCAATGTTTTTCAATGTTGTCCAAGCAAAAATTTTGTTTGAAATCAATATTTTGATTCGATTATTCGATTATTTGTGAAAGTTTCAATATTTTAATAATTTTATAATTTTAATGTCTTTTTTAAAGTTTATGTTGGAAATCGGTTCATCTTTAATGCTGTTTACTTTGAACTTCAAGCGATTTTTCTGAACATTGGAAACGATTAGAAATCAATCGATTATGGTGGATACGATTTCCTAGTAAATTGGTTCTTCAATGGTAAAAAGTCCAAGCGAAACTGTGTAAAAATGTAACAGAATCAACTGATTATTTTTTCGCTTTCAAGATCTACAATTAAATTAAAATCATTATTATCATTAAACAGCATTCCCAATTTATTATAATAATGAATGTGTTCAGTATTTGAATTTTAAAGATTCAATAATAAAAAAGTAAATGCAGAATCTTCAAGTTACACTAACGAGACATTGATAAAACTGTGAAAATACCCAAAACTAGCAAATGAATTGCAGGAATGAACCTCATTTCACTGTCACTAAAAACTCGCGTAGTCTGCACTCGAAGTGTCGTTAATTAGGCTTATTTCATTGAATGAAAGAAATATTTAGCCTGTCAAGTTTCAACATATATTTGAAAATCGGGATTGCTATTTGTTGATATTTTTTCATCAAAATTAACTTGGAATGATGATAGTTAACCTTTTAACATTCGTTTGTACATTTCATTTTGTAGAACGAATTGAAGTTGGAAATTTTCAGTCAACAGCGACATCTTTCATTGTCATCTTTGAAAATGAAATTGATCAATTCACACCAATATTGCTTTTATCTTCAGATGCCAAGGTTAAGATTTTAATTGAGTTTCCATGAAAATTTTTTGTTTAATGCAAATACATTGCACCTCCATGCAAACAAATGCAGTCTTAGCTAAGTTTAACTCGAAAACTTTGCACCTGTAAATTTAAGGAAACTTACCTGTCTCAACCACTGAATTTTCGAATTGCTATTAGTCGATAGTTTTTGATAATAAAATTAAAACAACTTAAAATAATAAATTTTTTAATTACCTAGATTTTATTTGTATAATAAATTAAAGATGAAACTTTTCAATCACTGCCAACATTATTCATTATCATCTTTTAAAATCAAATTGATCAACTTATTATTAGGATTACCGAATGACAGTTTAACGTCAAAAGAGACAGTTGAACAGCTCGTAAAGTTTGAAAAACTTTCAATATTTTTTCGTGCCTCCCGATTTGGCTTCAATCAAAATGAGTCTCATCAATCAACCAAAACTGACTATTTCAGTCTGATTGTTCGAGCAATCGGTCAAATCAACTTGATTCGTTTGGTTTGTTTAACAATTATAGACGATGAGGATTACCAATTGTATTTAGGTGACGTTGCATACAAGACAAAACATCGCTCAATGGTAAACGTTTTATTTGCTATCTGCTTCTTAATTGGAGTTGTCAACAGCGAATTGATTTTTTTATATGATAAAAGTGGTAAATACAGCGTTTTGACCATTTACTCGGAAATAATCAAAAATGGATTTGATCCGGTTCACTTACAAATGACATCAAACCAAGCAATCAAATTTCATCGTACAATCCATATACTGATCAATCAACTTAACCGTAATTTCATATTTTGTTGTCTCTTCATTGGACCTGGCTACTACTCCATACTCCTCTTGAATCTAAACTTTTATAAGGTTAAAGAGTTTCAATTTTACAGTTTGGCCTGGAGTCTAGTCGCAATTATTACAACAATTATCGTCATTGGAAAATATTTTGCTATTTTTGGTTATCTTATTTCAATCCAAGTATATCATCTTTTTAGGTTGAAATCTATAGTTGAATTAGCTAATTCATACCGTAGCTCAGAGTGTACCGATGAACATGTTTCAACCTTAACTAAGCACACATTTGTATGCTTAAATGACTCGGAAAAATGCGCTAAGCTTACTCGTAATATTGTCCTTTGTGTGTTCACTGTCATTGCCTTTGTTTGTGATCTGTTCATATTTTATGGTTTCATCATTCGTTTTCATTCACCGCTGTTCGCTAATTCAGTTGGTTCAATTGGTTGCATTGGTTTCATCATTATTGGCTTCCTTTCATTCATTGCACGAGAATTCATAATTAAAGTGAGTATTCATTTCAATGAGTAACAACAGACAAGCGTCTAATTTTTGGGCCAACAATCGTGATTTTGTTACAGATAGACCGTTTATATTCACATCTCAGAGCAATTTGTCGATACAATGTTTTCAATGTTTACAGTCAATTTAAGGTAATCCGATTAAAAGATGCAAAGAAAAGTATTAATAACATTTGATTGTATATTGTTCAAGCTTTTACAATTGATGGAACGAATATTCGAACCTAATAATGGCATTCAATTTGGTTCGATAACAAGAATTGGAAAGGATTTCTTCGTTACAGTTAGTATAAAGATTTACTGTGACTTTTCAATGTCATCGGTCCAGAAAGTTTGAAATCAATATCTTTTTTTATTGATTATTTGTGAAATTTCGTTTATGAAAATTAATGTCTTTTATTTTTCAGTTTATGGTGGAAATTGGCTCATCTTTAATATTGTTCACTTTGAACTTCAAGCGATACTTCTGAATATTCAAAATAATTAATCAAAATTATGGTTTAATTTACTTAGACACGATCTCCTAGCTAATTAACCCTTGAATAGTAAAAATCCAAGCCAATTTTAAGATAAAATCTAATGTGAATCGACTCCGCACTTTTTAAGATCTTTTAAAATCATAATTATTCTTGTAACGCATCAATAATCAATGATTCACAATATGCAACAATAAACTATAAACTCGAATGAGAAAAGAACCTTGAATTCAATTGTTCCTTTCTCCTGTAAACCCTGCGATCCTATAGATATGGATAAATTGAATTTTAAACGATAAACGATAAACGAATTATATTTTTTAGTTTTATGACGACGATGTTTGGTCGAATGAAAAGCGAAGCCTTGACGCTACTGTGTTTACAGTAAAGTGCCCCATAAATTGGTAGAATTTCGTGTTGGTGCCACCTTTTGGTGACAATATTAAATCAATGGAAATAAATTATAAAACAATTAATTCAGTAATTAATTTAATGAAAAACAGAATTTTTGAAACAATTTACAATAATCTGATATTCACATCGTGAGTGTGAATCTAACGAAATAGAGGATGCAGCTGAAGAATATAAAACTTCACCAGCATCATCACCTACAACGAATGCAGATTTAACGGGGTCAGTGTCAACTTTAACATCAACATTTATATTATCATTTCCACCACCATTTTCATCACCATTTTAACCCCCATCACGATTATAACCATTGCAGATGTCCTAGATGTCCTCGTTGACGTTTGGTGGGGTTGAGGGTCGGGTGCAGATCGCTTGTTGTAGGTGGGTCGATAATCAAGTGGGATGAAATAAATTTCCTCCGAAGTCAAACGTATAGCACACTCAATCCTAGTGGACGTTTACCTATCCTCACCAACGGTTGATGATACAATCATCAGACTTGAACTATAAGCTTCCGCAGATAAAAGAATCTCTATGATAATTTCATCAAATGAAGAACAATATTTGGGCTGTCAAGTTTCACATATTTGCAAATCGGGATTGTAAGCAATTGATATTTTTTATCAAAATCAACTTGAAATGATAGCAGTAAACCTTTTAAGTGTCGGTTGTATATTTCATTTTTACATTGAAACGAAGTTGATACCTTTGGTAATTTTCAGACAACAGCAACATCTTTCATTGTCATATTTGAAAATTAAATTGATCAATTTGCACCAATATTGCTTTCATCTTCAGATGTCAAGGTTAAGATTTTCATTAAGTTGTCATGAAAAGTCTATTTCTATTCAATACATTGAACCTCCTTGCAAACATGCAGTCTAAGCTAAAGTTCAACTCGAAACACTGGCACTTATAAATCTGGAAACTTACCTGTCTAAACTACTTATTAATCGATTGCTATCAGTTGATAATTTTTGATAATTAGATCAAAACAACTTATAATAATAAATTTTTTAACTTTCGGCGGTTCATTGCATTTATGCGGTTATATGATAAATAAAAGATGAAACTTTTCAATCACTGCCAACACTTTTCACTGTCATCTTTTAAAATAAAATTGATCAACTTATTATTAGGATTACCGAATGACATTTTAACATCAAAAGAGACAATTGAACAACAAGTTTTCAATATTTTCTCGTGCCTCTCGATTTGGATTCAATCAAAATGAGTCTTATCAATCAACTAAAACTGATTATTTCAGTCTGATAATTCGAGCAATCGGTCAAATCAACTTGATTCGTTTGGTTTGTTTAACGATTTACTCAGTCAAAATCAAGCATGGATTTGATCCAGTTCGCTTAAAAATGACTAATCATTTGCTCTTTAAGTTGCACCCAGTTTCATGATTAAAAACATTGGTTATACACAATTTATACGTATTTAATTCAATCAAATCATCATTTTTCGAAAATTTAATTAAAATTCAAATCAAATTGTTGATTGAAATGACTAACAATCCGGAATCAAGAAAAATATCCAACGGAATCTCTAAATCCATATACTGACTGATAAAAATTTGTAAATTCTAATCATTACCATTATTCAATTATTGAGCAAATATTGATTAATTATTGCAGATGAAGTTCGAACAATTGAACAAAAACTAAGATAATTTATCATTTAAATCAATTGTTGAAAAACAATCTGTTCGTGATCATCTAAATGATGGCAAGGTTGAGCTTATGATGTAATTAAAAGATCGAGCTTTAATGATGTTTCGATTCTTTTTTGCATAATTTTCTATTCCATTAAGCTAATATTGATTCGAAATTTAATGCCTGAATTAAATGTTGAACTTTGCTAATATTAAATCGACTCTCAACGTTTATATTGTTTTCCAATCAGATGACAAGGATGAGCTCATGCAAACCCACTGCAGTTTAAACTAAAATTTAACTCGAAGGTTTCACATTTGATAACTTGTGGAGCTTCCTCATTAACTAAATACTTGAATTGCTATCATTTGGTATCTCTTTGAATAAGATCAAAACACCTGAAAATGAATAATTTTTTAACTTTCGTTGATTCTTTTCATTTGTATGACAATTTAAAACTGAAAATTTCCAGTCAATGGCGACATTATTCACCTTTCAGAAGTAAATTGATCAACTTACTGTTAGGATTGCCAAATCACAGTCTAACGCCCAAAGATACAATTGAACAACTCGTAAAATTTGAAAAGTTTTCAATAATTTGTCGTGCCGCGCGGTTTGGATTCAAGCAAAATGTGTCTCATCAATCAGCTAAAACTGACTATTTCCGTCTAATTATGCGAGTGATTGGTCAAATCAACTTGATTCGTTTTATTTGTATAATAGTTATAGACAATGAGGATTATCAATTGTATTTAGGTGACTTTGCTTACAAGACAAATTATCGATTTATAATTAACTTTCTGGTCACAATTATTTATCTAATTGGAGCCGTTAACAGTGAATGCCTCGTTTTATTTGATAAAAGTGGTAAATTCAGTGTTTTGGCCATTTACTCATCCATAATTGACCATGGATTTGACCCTTTGATCTTACAAATGACGAAAACCCAAGCAATTGCATTCCATCGTACAATTCATATACTAGTTACTCAACTCAATCGTAGCTTTATATTTTGCTGTCTTTTCGTTAAACCTTGTTACTTCTCGATACTACTCTTCAATCCAAACTTTTATCTAGTCAAACAGTTGCCTTATTACAGTTTGGCCTGGAGTTTAGTCGTAGTTTTCGTCTCGTTTACCATGATTGGCCAATATTTCGCTATTTTTGGTTATCTTTTTTTAACACAGGCATATTCGTTTTACAGGTTGCGCTCAGCTATCGAGTTGTCCGATTCATATCGTAGCTCGAAATTTACAAATGAATTTGCTTCAACCTTCATCAAGTACACATTCGATAGTCTAAATCAATTTGAAAAATTTTCTAAATTGACTGGTATTATAGTCTTTTCTGTGATTGCTGCCATTGCGTTTATGGGTGATCTATGCATATTTTATGGTTTCATCATGCGTTTTCATTCACCACTATACGCTAATTCGACTGGTTCAATTGGTTGCATTGTTTTCATCGTTATTGGTTGCCTCTCATTAATTGCTCGAGAGTTTAAAATTAAAGTGAGTATTTTTTCAAATGTTCAAACAGACTATTTTGTCTAATTTTTCGTCATTAATCGACATTCAATACAGATGGAGCATTTAAATTCACATCTTCAAATAATTTATCGATACAATGTTCTTGATGTCTATAATCAGTTTAAGGTAAGGAGTAATGAGAAAAACTCAAACAGATATATAACGTTAGTTGAACGTTATACACCGTGATTCATAATCACCTGACGGCTCTTGATTGCTAATAACTTTAATCTGTATTAAGACTATTATTTTTTATTTTTATTATTATTTATGCTATTTTGCATCATTAATTAACTTAGAATAGATCCAATCGATCCAATTTCGCGTTTAATTGAGTTAAAATTTAGAAAAATCAAAATATGGGAATTTTTGTTTTAAACAACTTTTGACCCGATTTTCTCCTCTATTAATAAGCAGAATTTTCTGATTCTCAGTTAAATTGTAGAGTTACTATTCATCAGTCAGAATTAGAATCAATCGTTTTTTTCAAATTCTTTGTTAAAAAACTACAAAAATATCTTTTGAGACTGTAAAATTGAGCAATTGTCAACTTTCAAAAACGACTCTGAAACATCATTGTTTCGAAAGGTAATCATTTCGAGCATATTGTCATTTAACAAGCAATCTTTGAGCTACAATTAGGCACCAACTTGATCAGTTTAAGGTAAGGAGTAATGAGAAAAACTCAAACAGATATATAACGTTAGTTGAACGTTATATAAAAAAGTTTAAAATTTGACTGCTATTTTCTCATTTAACCCCCCAAAGTCTCAACTGTTCACTCAAAAGTTCGTAAAAAAGTATTCTCATAAAAAGATGTATTAATACAAAATACTAACCTTTGATTTTTCAAGCTTTTACAGTTGATGGAACGATTATCAGAACCTAAAAATGGCATTCAATTGGGTTCAATAACTACAATAGGAAAGGATTTCTTTATGGTGGTGAGTATTACAGCTTTTCAATATCACCAATCCAGGAACTTTTGTTTTATCCAAATCAGTATAATGAAATATTGATTTATACTGAATTTCTAAATAATAACAACAACTTGATGTCTTTTTGCATATAGTTTATGATGGAAATTGGTTCATCTTTAATGTTGTTTACTTTGAACTTCAAGCGATATTTCTGAACATTGGAAACGATTATCAGTCAATTATGATTTGATTGACTTGGACACGATTCCCAAGTAGATTGACTCTTCAATGGTAAAAAGCCTAAGCAAATCTGTTTATAAAATTAAATGTTAAATCGACTGATTATTTTTTCGCTTTCAATATCTACAAAATAATATTAAAAATTATAATTATTCTTGTAATTCAATGATACCCGAAAGATCATAATAAATGCCAAGTATTAGCTATGAATAGAAGTGCAATACAGCTTTTCTGATATCATCACTAATGCGTTCATTCTATGAATTTATCGCAATCTTTTTACAACAAGATTTGAAAATATCATGTGAGATCATATTCAAGCATTCAGAAGATTATTATTTAGATTCAAAAGCTCAAGTAAGTTTTCGATTTATCGAAGAAAGTTTTGGCTATTTGATTTTCTGTCGATAAAGTTTCAGCTCTTTAACTATTGTTAATTTAATCCAAGTTGTCTATTCGTTAACAAAATCAAATGTTATTTTCCATGTTTCTTATTGGCTTTTGGACGTTACAGAAGAAAACATCGTTTTGATGATTTATTCTGTTTACCTGGCTGTACAAAGTGCTCAAATTTTGAACTGTAAACGTGATTTTATCGAAAAATATCAGAGAAATTTTTTAGTTGCATGAATGAACTTTATTTTCATGTCACTTAAAACGCACAAAGTTGCAACTTTTTTTTCTCGGCTCACAATTCGCACGCACAGATTATATTAAATTCATCGAATGAAAAGAAATATTGAGTGTGTCGAGTTTCATAAACAAATTTTCAAATGAAATCTTTACTTTGCGTAAATACCAAATATTGATTCAACTTTAAATGACTAAATTAAATGCTAAACTTTGATGATATTAAATTCACTCTTAACGATTGAACATCAAACAATATTGCTTTCACTTGCGTATCCAACGAAAATTTTTGTTACAAGATGATTATTTTGTTATTATTTGGTTAATGTAATGTCCATGCAAACCCACTACTGTACTTTGGTTTAACTCGAAGTCTTTGCAACGGTAAATCTGGTGAAACTTACCCTCTTCAACAACTGAATATTGTGATTGCTATTAATTGATATTTTTTCATCAACAGATCGAAACCAATAATGATAAACTTTGACTTTTTAATTTCTGATGTATTCCATTCATGAATTAAAGATGAAACTTTTCGGTCAATGGCGAAATTATTCATTGTCATCTTTGAAAACTGAATCGACCAATTTAGTTCTAGGATTACCGAATCACGGTTTAACATCCGAAGAGACAATTAAACAACTGGTGAAATTTGAAAAATTTTTAATATTTTTTCGTGCTTCTCGGTTTGGATTCAATCAGAATGTGTCTCATCCCCCAACTAAAACTGACTATTTAAGTCTAATTATGCGAGCGATTGGTCAAATCAACTTGATTCGTTTGATTTGTTTAACAATAATAGACAATGAAGATTATCAAATGTATTTAGGCGACACTGCTTACAAAACAAAACATCGAATAACTATTAACGTTTTTTTCATCATCTGCTTCCTGATTGGAGTCGTTGTCCATGAATGGGTTGCTTTATATGATAAAAGTGGTAAAAATAGTGTTTTGACAATTTACTCGGACATAATTAACAATGGATTTGATCCGGTTACCTTACAAATGACACCAAACCAAGCAGTTAAATTTCATCGTACAATCCATACTCTGATCACTCAACTTAACCGTAATTTCCTATTTTGCTGTCTCTTCCTTGCCATTTGCTATTATTTCATGCTCCTCTCCAATCCGCATTTTTATCAGGTCAAAGAGTTTGTATTTTACAGTTTGATCTGGAGTCTAGTCGCAATGATTACGACTTTTACCTTGAGCGGAAAATATATTTCTATTTTTGGTCATCTTATTTTAATGCAAGTGTACCACCTTTTTAGGTTGCAATCAGTAGTCGAGTTGGCAGATTCCTATCGACGATTGAAATATAACGATGAAGACGCTTCAAACTTTATCAATAGCACATTTGAATGTCTAAATCAATCAGAAAAGTGTGCTAAACTAACTGGTACTTTAGTCCTTTGTGTTTTCACTGCCATTGCCTTTATTTGCGATCTGTTTATATTTTATGGTTTCATCATGCGTTTCCATTCACCAGTGTTCGCTAATTCACTTGGTTCAATTGCTGCATTGTTTTCCTCGTTATTGGTTACATCTCGTTAGTTGCACGAAAATTTATAATCCAAGTCAGTATTCAATCGAATTTTATCGTTTATTTTATCTAATTTTGTTTCAATTTTTTTCGGACAACAATTGTGATATTCGTACAGATAGAGCGATTATATACACATATCCATAAAATTTATCGTAACAACGTTTTAACTGTTTGCAATCAGTTTAAGGTAATTCAATAAAAAGGTGAAAAGAAAAGTACTAACATTTTATTTTGTATTAATCAAGCTTTTACAATTAATGGAACGATTATCCGACCCTAATATCGGCATTCAATTGGGTTTAATAACAACAATTGGAAAGTATTTCTTCATTAAAGTTAGTATTACAGATTTGCAATTAATATGTTTTATAATGTCATCCCAGCGAAAGTTTTTTTCAAATCAATATCTTAATGTCTTTTTGCGTATAGTTTATGATGGAAATTGGTTCATCTTTAATGTTGTTTACTTTGAACTTCAAGCGATACTTCTGAACATTGGAAACAATTAGCGCTCAATTATGGTGAATTAGTTTGGATACGATCTCATAGCCGATTGGTTCTTCAATTATAAAAAGTCCAAGCGAAACTGTGTATAAAGGACCTGATCGTATAATTTGTATGATCGAAATGAACTCCATATTTGTACATAGAAATGAAGACAAAACTTTTCAGTGCAAAAAGCAAATTCGTTAATTTAATGTTAGGGTTACCGAATCACAGTTTAACATACGAAGAGACAGTCGAAAAACTCGTAAAATTTGGGATATTTTTAGTATTTTTAGATTCAAAAAGCTTAAGTAAGCTTTCGATTTATAGAAGAAAATATTAGATAGTTGATGTTCGAGAACTTTTCTGTCGATAAAGTTTCAGCTCTTTAAATATCGCTATAATTTTAATGCAAGTTGTCTGTATTAAACTACAACAAAATCAAATGTTATTTTCCATGTTTTTTTAGTAATTAGCCGTTACAGTACAAAAAATCATTTCTGATTACCTGGCTGCACAAAGGGCACAAATTTTTGCACTGTAAACGTGATTTTATCGAAAACTATCAGAGAAATATTTTAATTGCAGGAATGAACTTTATTTTCATGTCACTTAAAACGCACAAAACTTTTTTCTCAACTAACAATTGGCACGCACAGATTATATTAAATTCATCGAATGAAAAGAAATATTGAGTTTGTCGAGTTTCATAAACCAATTTGGAAATGAATTCTTTACCTTTGCGTAAATACCAAATATTGATTCAACTTTAAATGACTTTAAACTTTGATGATATTAAATTGACTCTTAAAGATTGAACATTAAACAATATTGCATTTTTTACCAAAGACCAAGGTTGAGATTTTACTTTAGTTTTCTAATACTAATATTATAAGATATTATATTATATTATTATTTTGTTATGATTTCGTTAAATTTAAAGCAACTTGTAATGTCCATGCAAACCCGCTACAGTCTAAACTTGATTTAACTCGAAGTCTTTGCAACGTTGGATCTGGTGAAACTTACCTTTTTCAACAACTGAATATTGTGATTGCTATTAATTGATATTTTTTCATCATAAGATCAAAATCAATTCATAATGATCAACTTTGATTTTTTTACATTCGGTGGTTTATATCATTTCTATGATAAATTGAAGATGAAACTTTCCGGTCAATGGCGAAATTATTCATTGTCGTCTTTGAAAACTGAATCGACCAATTTATTTCTAGGATTACCGAATCACGGTTTAACATGCGAAGAGACGATTAAACAGCTCGTTAAATTTGAAAAATTTTTAATATTTTTTCGTGCTTCTCGGTTTGGATTCAATCAAAATGTGTCTCATCAATCAGTCAAAACTGACTATGTCAGTCTAATCATGCGAGCGATTGGTCAAATCAACTTGCTTCGTTTCATTTGTCTAACAGTTATAGACAATGAAGATTATCAAATGTATTTAGGAGACACTGGTTACAAGACAAAACATCGAATAATGCTTAACGTATTTTTTATGATCGGCTTCCTGGTTGGATTCGTTGTCAATGAATGGGTTGTTTTATTTGATAAAAGTGGTAAAAATAGTGTTTTGACAATTTATTCGTCCATAATTGGTCATGGATTTGACCCAGTCTACTTACAAATGACACCAAACCAAGCAGTTAAATTTCATCGTACAATCCATATTCTGATCACTCAACTTAACCGTAATTTCCTATTTTGCTGTCTCTTCCTTGCCATTTGCTATTATTTCATGCTCCTCTCCAATCCACATTTTTATCAGGTCAAAGAGTTTGTATTTTACAGTTTGATCTGGAGTCTAGTCGCAATGATTACGACTTTTACCGTGCTTGGAAAATATATTGCTATTTTTGGTTATCTTATTTTAATGCAATTGTACCACCTATTCAGGTTGCAATCAGTAGTCGAGTTGGCAGATTCCTATCGACGATTGAAATATAACGATGAAGACGCTTCAAACTTCACCAAGAGCACATTTGAATGTCTAAATCAATCAGAAAAGTGTGCTAAACTAACTGGTACTTTAGTCCTTTGTGTTTTCACTGCCATTGCCTTTATTTGTGATCTGTTTGTATTTTATGGTTTCATCATGCGTTTCCATTCACCAGTGTTCGCTAATTCACTTGGTTCAATTGGCTGCATTGTTCTCCTCGTTATTGGTTACATCTCATTGATTGGACGAAAATTTATTATCGAAGTGAGTATTCAATCGAATTTCATCAGACTGTTTTACTAATTTTTGCTCCAATTTTTCGGACTCCGATTGTGATGTTGGATACAGATCGAGCGCTTGCATACACATGTCCATATAATTTATCGATACAACGTTTCCACCGTTTGCAATCAATTTAAGGTAAAATAAAAAGATGTTAAGAATAGTGATAATATTTGATTGTAATTTCAAGATTTTACAGTTAATGGAACGATTATCCGAACCTAATATCGACATTCAATTGGGGTCGATAGCAACGATTGGAAAGGATTTCTTCATAAGA